GTGTGTGTGTGTGTGTGTGTGTGTGTGTGTGTGTGTGTGTAACAGCTGACCGGGTCACGTAGCCTGCTATGCTCCTCCCTCTCCTCCTGTTCTTCTGTCAGAGAAACCAGGGAAACCCTGTCATCACTGTCTTGCCGGGGCATCCTCCAAGGCTCCTGGACACAGGGCCCCTGAATGGTGGAGCCCCTCAGCTCTTCTTGGACTCCACTGAGTCCCTCCAAGCTGTAACTGTATAAACAAACAGGAGGACAAAAGTAAGATAACCAACTCTGTACTCAGACTCCACCAGCCTTTCTGAGCTCTTCAGCTCATCTCACTGGACAAACACAACAACCGCTGTAACGCCACACACAAACATGCATGCATGCACCTGTTGACAGACACACAAACACACACACACACACACATACACAAAGCTGGTCCTGCACAGTGTTTAGTCAGCTGAGTTATTGCCGGCCTCTGGGGCAGATTTACAGCTGAAGCAGCTGCAAATGACTTCCAACATCAGCATCAGCACAGAGCGCCGTGCAGCTGTGATTTACAACCCCAATTACATCGATCTATGACCGGGAATAAGAGGCCTTGAAAAATCCAATGCAATGATTATGGGGAGGAAAACTACAGCTACATTTCAGAATGAGCTGCAGCTCTATCTGCTTCAGGACAGGCCTGCTCATGGTCCAAGCTGTGGCAGTAAATCTCCCTTTTCTTCAGCTTTGGGTCTGCGTGGCACGTCGTTATCCAGCAAATCATCAATCCAACACTTTCAAGCCTCACTAACTAAGACTGGACTAAAAGAATCATCAGTGACCAGCATGGAGCGGCGCTCACCAATCCTCGGGGAGCGCAGATGGCTGTATATGTCATATTAAAGCCTCCTTCCTGGCAGTGTTATTACATACTCACCCTACAGAGCCTGAAACGCCTCCATACTGAATAACACCTGCAGCGATTGCAGCTCTCTGCTGTAGAGTAGAAAGCCACCAACTGACTGACTGTCAGGGTTTTCACACACACACAAAGAGACACACCCACAACAACGGCTAATGCAAATGAAGATGGTTGTAAATATGCACTATTCAAAAACCGTCACGTGATCTCAGCAAAAAAGGAACATTCTAACACACACCAACACATCGTACCTGCTGCATCTAACTACTGTTACTGTACATGGCTGATGTGAGGGGCTTCACCCGCTCATACTAACAGGGGGTGGGGGGGTGGGATTTGAACATGAAGGAAAATGATGCAATGATGGACGAGGAAGAATAACAGCAGCAGAAGGAGAAGGACGTGGAGATGAAGCAGGTTCACAGATGTCTGAGRATAATGACAAAGAGGACGTACTGTACTGCACCCCATTTCCCACTGTGAAACATGGACCTGGTCAATTTGTTCAGTCTGTTTCCTGCTGCAGTGTTCTGGTTGTATCAGGAACAACCAGGAAATCAAAATGAACCCAAGCTGTTTCCCGGAAAAAAGGCAACAGCAGCAGAAAAACCTGAGYACTGTAAGCACTACTGGAGCTGCTGTTTTCCTCTACTCGACAGATGTGGCCAGATGGTTACAGCAGTGGCCTTTTACACTACAAGACATGCCTTATTTAGAGCAGGAAAAATAGGGAGGATGACTGGTGTTATCAGCTATTATTAGAGCATAACCACTGTGTAAGTACATCAGGGTACATGGCACCCTGCAAGTGGCACGAAACAGAGGCGCAGTCTGTTCAGTGCTGACTAAAAACTTAAAAAAAAAAATAACGAAATAATAATAATAACCAAAGCTAATTTTAAAGAGAATTTTTAAATACTAAAAAAATAAGAATGTCAAAAGTAAGTACCTCAAAATAATTACCAACACATCAGCCTCAGTCTGCTCCAAGTTCTCATTCAAAGACTCAATTTCAGATCATTTCAAATAACAGACACCAGATTTTTTTAAGGTTTCAATAACATAAATCCTACAGATAAACAAGGTGCAAGAGTTGAGAAAAAAAATCCAACATGCTGTTTTAATCTCTCCATCTGAAGTTTTCCCATTTAATCTTTTTTAAGAGTCAAACAAGTAGTTTGGGATGATATTTCAGCAGAAAAATCTTTCCTTCTTATCTTCATAAATCATTCTGGTCAACCAGGATGTGGTTGGTCAGATGAGTAACAAATGCAGCGTTTCCGCTAGCATCATCCAAGGGGAAACCCCCTGCCCCTTAACAAGAAATCCAAAGGAGATTACAAAGCCGATACATCATCACCCACTCACCCAATGCCACTAATCTCCCAAGGACTTTTGGAGGTTGAAGAGTACGGTTAGGTGACAGGTTAAAAAAAAATTAATGATGATCGACAGTATCGAATGATACTGGTATTTATTAAAATAATGTGCAGCCTTTTCAAAATAAAAATTACAGAACATGAAAAGTCTGCAATTTAATTTGCATTGGTTGAATCTTATTTCTCTCTCACTTAAACTAATGTTTATGCTCACACATATGCTGCCAYACACATCAGCTTCCACATGTTGCTAAAAATGATCTGCTGCGCTCCCAGAGCAGAATCCAACTGTTAAACTGGCAAAATGAACCTATGAGTAAGTGAACATCCACATCTTATTTTCATCTCTGCAGTTAATGAGAAAAAAAAAAGTTTTAACACTACGCTTGACGTCCAGCGAGAGGGAGGGAGAAATTATGAGGATTTATCCCCCGCAGGTCTTATACAAGAAATTAGTTAAACTTATTGTGGAAGTTTATTACTTGTACAATGGTAGGGGAAACACTGCTCAACAAACCTCACACAGTACGTCTCATGTGTACAGATGCGCAGAGGTAAAACTGGTTGCAGATGCAAATGCAAATTGCTGGTATTAAAAGAAAAAACTCAAATTCTTTTTGCTGCTGATTGTTCTCTCACCCTCATAGACTAACTCCACCCCCAACTCCAAGACCCCAATCTAAAGAGAAACACTGAATTGCAGGACTTTCCCTAAATTCAGCAACTTTTATGAGTCCAGCATAATTGTTTGGATCAGTCTAGAGAACTGAAACAACTACACTCATTCATACCAGATAAATGTGGGAAGAGCCTGGCTCCTTTATCATCACCTCCCCCTGTCTCCTTCTGGGTGAAAGTGCAGTTTAGAAAGTCAACACAGACATTCTGCAACTAGAATAACTCCTGTTCTGATTTTATTGTGGTGACACTGAGTTGTCTCCTTCAGGACTTCAGTCAAAACTCTTCTGATGCCTTTATAGTTGTCAAAAAAAAAGTTCTATACGGTAAAAGAAAACAAATCTGTTCTCAATGTCTAGCAACACAKCCTCTGGAATTGAACACTTTTTTCCATTTGGCTTCTTGTTATTACCACTGCAATATAAAACAGCAAAGCCTCAGCCACAGCTTCTTCTCCACAGTGCTTTATGCACATTCCAACAGGGGTGAAAAGAGAGCAACATTTTTCAGAGCCGRTGCCTGCAGGGATGCAGCAGAAAGCAGGGACAGTGCAGTGAGCGTATATTAAAAAAGCAGAAGCTTTACAACAAAAACCTGCATAAATTTGCCATTGCATCTCACGAAGAAACCAGTCAGTCTCTGTAAGTGTGATTTATTAGTACCTTCTCCTGTGAAAGGCCTGCTTCCTCTCACCGGGGCTACGAATGGAACTGGAGGTGATGAAAACAGAAACAGGAAGTAGTGGATGATAGGTGAGATGAGTTTAGATTGGAAAAGATAGCATGAACATGATGAATCAAGTCTTTCAGCTGATGATGGAAGCATCAGTTCTAATCTGAAAAAAAAAAAATCCTAATAAAATTGAATTTTTTGAACATTTTATCAACACTGACGTTCGTTCAGAATAATGACCACGAATAAATACTTCTTGAAAAGTGATTATTTGTAGTCTTGCCGAGTGTTACACACTCCTCACATACCTGTCTGTTCACCACAAAGATGAAGCCAGGAACCATTTGGCTTTGTTTAGCAGAGGGGGTGGAAAGAAGAGGAGAAACAACTAGTTTGGAACGAGGAAAAACTATTTCTGAGCCAGAAGCATTTACTCTCTGGAGTCTCTCCTTGTTGCCAACTTCCAACATTAAAAAGAGGAAGTTACTGGGCCAATAAATAGCCATGAGCATGACCGCTTGTCACAGCATAAATACTTATTCTTTCATTAATGAGCTTTAGAGGTGCTGGTAGGTGGAATTTTGCTTTTTAAAGTGAAGTTAATGTGCTGCTGCTGATTGCTTCATATTTATCTTGCTGACACATTAATGCTGCCTGACAGAAGAAGGTGGACTTATGTACTTTGAAMGTATCAATCTATATGTATCCCGGTGTAACCCTCACTTTTTAATCCCAAGTGTTTTGTTTTCTTCTGGCACTCAGGYTGACTTGTAATTTAATAGGAAAAACACCACGAATGTATAAAAAAGSTTCAATAAAACAAGAAGAGAAAATGCCGTACGTTTTTGTTTCTGTATATTCAAGAGGCAGAGATTTCAACCCACAGCTGTATTGATATACCCTTATCACCAGCTGCCAAAAGCAACTGGGCGACAATGTTTTCCATAATCTGTTCGGTTGCCTGTCATGTCAGTCTGCTAGCAAATTATTTCATGAAGCRCTTGACTATTTTTTTATTGAAACGTTCAGAAAAGTAATCAGCGGGTGTACATTTGCAGCTGAGTAACTGAGTCAATCCAAATCCAAATGGCCCTCACAGCCAAACGACTTTAGGAAACTAGCTACAATGTTTGTCTAAATGGTAATAACTGACATTTCTCACCATAAGATATTAGATTAAAACTCTGGCATTGAAGATAGCAGGCAATATGCATTCCTTTAAGGAATTCTATGCATGAAATTCTTTACACTTTGTAAAATGCTCTGTCTGTATAAAGCTTTAACACTCCTCATATAACAGCATTATTTTAGGATGTGAACAAACAAGAGAGGTCAAGATAAAACCACAAGGAGGATGTGTTTACCTCACTAATTTGAACTTATCACTCTAAGTTCATGTTTTATTTACAAAATCTCACAAGTATTTTAAGCCTTTTTTTAATTACAAATATCTTGTGGTCTGTCAAGTCAAAAACSCTGTTTCTCTTTCTATTATTATCAAACTATAAACATGAAACATAGTGGCCTGTGTGTCATAAAAGTAGATTGTACTTTTCTAAAGCTATTTTTTTTTTCTGTTTACCCTTGTGGAATAGGACATGATAAAATCAGAAATAAAGAAGTACTGCAAATGCCAGCTTAAAATATACCAGACTAAAATACAAGTTACACAGAATTCTAAATGACAAAACAGCTGTTTTGTTGACAAAAAAAATGTCAAGATTTTGTTTTTGCTCAGCTGAACAGTTAATGTCAAGTAGTTTGTGTTGCATTGTGATTAGTGGTGTACATGTTGCTGAGTGCGTTGCAWATGTTTCAGCAGACGTCTGAGTCTGCGTGTTTGAGTATCGACACTGATGTGTAGATGTTTGTGTTGCTTCCAACAGTCGTCAGACAAATGGCAACACAGCTGCTCACAGCAGGGAATAAAACTGTCAACATGGTTCTGAAGGAAGGACATGATCAAGCTCTATTAATGCTGAGATATGATGGGTCCACCGGCATGTAAAGACTAGCATCAACAGCCAGGGTTCAGGACAAAAAAAGAACCAAATCTGTTTCTTTGATAATTCCGTTCAAATCGTAAGAAGCATCCCATGAACTCTCACCTCCTCTGGTTCATCTCTGCTTCTCCTCCGTTGTTCTTTCCTGGACCCCAGCTGTGGCGACGAGGGGGCGACAGGGAGCGGATGCTGCTTTGGAATTTACTGGAACGCTGCGGCACTTCGGTCACTCTGTCTTTTGCCTCCTCTTCAGCGTCTGCTGCTCCTCCTCCTCCTCCTCCTCCGCTGCCACCAGTGTCCAGGCCTGCGGTGGTTGCAACACCAGTCTGGATGCCCTCCTCCGGGCTCCAGCCCAGGCCCTGGCTGCCCTCTGGGCTGGAACTGGACGGCCCAACGCTGGCTGTGTCGTCTGTGGAGGAGCAGGAGACAGAAACCTCGCTGGCACTGTCTCCTCCTGTCACTGGTTCATCAGTCTGCAGACAGAAAAAGAAACGCTGATCAATATGTKTTTATAACACCACTGCCTCCTATGACTCATTTCCATGAAGCCTCAGAAAAGGCAAAACCTAAAAGCTATATATAACTTTCACCTCAATCCATTATGAAACGTTAATGAAGCAACATCTTCAGAAATAAACATGTAATGATACATGTTTTCAACACATATAGTAAATGACTAATTTAATGTATCATTTGTTCATTTATTATAAGCTTTCTTTATTGCTTATATATTAAATAGTTTTTATTATCCATTTAACACAATGCTTTCAAACCAGATCTGTTGTGTGAAAGAACCAAGGTAGAATGTGGTAGAAAGTTAAACAGCTGCAGTTTCATCTCTGAGACAGCAGGAGAGGTAGTCACAGGGCTGAAACGGTGTTTGAGTGTAAGACAAAGCTGAGATCATGACAGYGAAGACATTCAGTTTTAAAAGTCTCAATCCTGCCAGCATTTGTTCCAAGAAGCCATCATTTCTTGTACTACTTTATAGTCATCTCGATCAATATTTTTTTAAGTCTTTCTTTGGAATTTGACTTTCTTCTGTTCAATCTTTGTACGCAGCCATTCTTAGAAAAATGCTTTTATGTTTAGGCAACTTAACGATGAATCTTTCAGACAAAAAAATGTTAAGTTTAATTTTGAAGTGCCTATTGAGGCTTTTTATTATCAGCAGCCTGACACAAATGTGTTCATATTTCTTTAGCAAAATCCATGAGAAAAAAGCTCATCACATGAAATAGTATTTTAGCATCAACAAGGTGATTTACAAAAAAATATTACCTAAAAATGTAAATACATTAAGTAAAGGATGATGCATATTTCATTTCACTTCAGATCTTTAYTGTAAATGTACAAATATTAGAGGTGGTTTAAAACTTTGCCACAGCAACCAATCATCTGCCAGATGTAAAAGTGGCAACAACCAATGCAGAACAACGTGGCTTTTATTTAAAGCGCTGTGTGCCACCACCACCAGCCTATGACCTTTTACAATACTAAAAATCTCACAGTGTAAGTTGACAGACTTAAGTTCTCTGCACTTCTGAATGAAAAAACAATATTATTTTTGAACCCAGTCRTGAATTTCTAATAACTTTTGGCAGAATGTACTTACCCAGCAAAACAACCTTGCATGAAAAGATACCTAATCCTTACACACTCACCCATCACCACCATACAATATAAAGTGTACACACATTCACACACTGATGGTGGTACACTACATTGTAGAAGTTGATGTTAATTGTATATTCCATACATTTTATTCTTTATATCTTGCAACCTTTTTTTTATTAATATTCATTGTTATTTTATGTAGAAAAGAACTGTTTTTAAAATTCAATGCTGGTAAAACACTGAAATAATTTATAATTAATTGTATGTGTGTCTATGAAAAGAGAAAAAGCCTTTTAGAAAACCTTTTATGTTCTTTTTTTGTTTGTTTTACTGTAGATTTGTTTACATATTGCCTCAGTTACTTGAAGTGAACAGCTGTCAGTGGGAACAGCAACACAGGAAGTGAAGCGTTTTAACCCTAAAAACACCAGAAAATCCATCTTTGGTCAGCCGCTGACAGAAATGGAAAAAAGATTTTTAAAAATCAACACAAGTACAAAAAAATAAAATAGTACAATTTGTCAGGCACAACGCAATGAAACACTACCTATAAAAAGAACAATAGAGCATGCATCCTTCATGTCCCTGTTAATCACCTGGGCTATCACATTGTGTATCCATCAGCATTTCCTCACTGAAGCATGAGATGAATTCAGAAAAGGCTGGAAGAGCTATTTAACCCGCAGGAATGGAACATAATGAGGACCAAATGGCAGGGCTTAAGGATAACGAGCCGCAGCCACTTTATAGCAACACTGACATTATAACAAACACCAGCAGATGATGGTGGAAACAAAGCTTTCACAGATGTTTCTGACTGATACACGCATTTTTAAACACTGTCAAAGTCACAAGGCTATCACAACTGTGCATTTGGTAAATATGATGTGCACTCATTTGTTTTATTTTTTGCATTTGTGAGCTAATGTGAATCTTTGCAAAGAATAATGCTTAATGTGGAGTTGAGCTAATTTCTGATCCACCTTGAGCAAAAGCAATAAATTATACTATGAGAGCAAGTTGTATTTGTATAAGTACACTCTAGCCTCAGACCTATGGGAATACAGTTGTGCACTGGCACACACAGGTTTGGGTAGGTTCATTTAGAGTAAATCTATAGGTGTGAGCTTTAACTGGGCTTATTGTGCTGCCAGCTGCACTGTTAGCGGTGAGCATAGAGCTGCTTCTGTTGGAGGACTAGGAAAGAAAGATCCGCTTTGTGCTGCAGACTCAACTTCCTCTGGGAGTGAGGGAACGTGTGTGCTGGCGTGTGTGTGTGTGCGGTTCACAGACGAGAGTGCACGTGACTGCTGTGAATGTCGGCCTCGGAGTGAGGAAAAGGATTCAGATAAGCGTTAGCATTTCACTTTTCTGACTTTTGGAGTTTGCTTAGGTCCTTACATAAAACACACACACACACACACACACACAAATAACAAACCTTCTCTCTCTAAAGACACACGATGCATGTTGTGCTCAAATGATAGAGTTTGATGTCATGACATTTAGTTTTTGAAACAGTTTCTTTACCCTTTTTTCTACACTCACAGAACTGTGGGCTTCCAAGAGAAAGACATTTTCTCCTCACAGAGCAGCAAAGGCGATAATCCCCTCTTTCAAAATTTAGCTTCTGTGGCCTTTTGTTTGAAATCAAAGCATGAGAGCCACATTTCTCCCATCACTCCCTGCGTACTCACAGTCCTCACCCTCAGCATCCCAGCGTAACACCCGCAGTTCACTGATATCTGCTCCGCCGACTTCATTATTCATTCTTGTTCACAACAAACAGGACATAAGGTTCATATTACAATAAGCATGCTTCAAGTGCTCAACACAGCAGAAAGGAACAACACTGAGAAATGTGTGTATTTAAACAATAAACCAAAGGGTGCTTGGCTTCACACAGATTCTCAACTGCAGCAGAAAGGCAGCAGGGACCACTGCTTGCACTTTCCCAGCAGCAGAGAAGAGCTGCCAGCTTTAAAAGATGCTTAGTTGATGTTTTGGCATCTCTCAGCCTCAGGGTGCTGACAAATAAAACTGAGTTCAGACTGAGAAAAATAGCTGTGTTATACATATGATATAATCCCTATAGGGGTGGGTGCAGAGGCAAAAAAATAAATAAAATAATAAATTCCTGCTGTTCAACATGAGTGAACTTGATGTTTAAACTGCAGCCAGCAAAACACGAAGACTGATGCTGCTAAATCCAAGAGTGCCTTTTTCTTTTATTTAAAAATGTGTGAAACACCCAGATTAACCAGAATTAGAMAGTTCAAACACAACATTCAGTCACATGCCATGCAGGAACTGTTTATGCTTTCAGTTTCTTTAAAATAAGTTTTCTTCTTTATTCCCCTCCCCACAAAATAGATTTAGACCAGCAAACAACAATGAATTGATTTATTTTATTTTGGGGAGTAAATGCATTGTTCAGCTCAGTATTGACTTTTTTATGGATTACAAACCTTTCTGAAGACGCTGTCAAATGCCGGCTCTGCGTTTAAGAAGCTCTCTATGTCGCTGCCAGAATCTCTGTGGGCGGAGGACGGACAGCTGGTGGAGCGGCTGGGCAAAGTGGAAAACGCTGAAGAAGTTGAGGATCCTGAAACACAAAAGCAACAACAAGTGTTATCACCACAATACTGCAGGATCAAGAGGCAAAAGGAGCAATGCTGCAATGAGAAAAATCTGACTTTTGCTCTCAGGAGGAAAAAAAATAAATCAAGAAAAAAATATTTTAAACATTTTTTTACTGAAATTTACCAGATTGTCAAAACAATGTGCTATTTTTCTTTYATTCACCACAACACAAGCATGTCTGTTAAGCATCAGCAAAAAAAGACTTGTGGGAATCTGAGAAGGTGTGAAAAGCCTGATGGATCAATGGYCAACTGTCCTGAAGGAAGCTGTCTGTGCTGAGCTGCAAACAACTACTGTTTGTGTTCTTAAGGGTCTGAGGTCAGAACGTGAACTGAAATAACAGTCAAAGAAAACAAATAATAAATGCTAGAAATGCACAGAAGGTACAAATTTAAAGTGGACATATAATGCTTTTAAAATATTTTTCACAGTTAAATCACTCAGTTTGGGTCCATATAAAATGGAACTGCAAAGCTTTGGTCTGAATTCCTCCTTATTGTAACTCCACAAGCCCCTCTTTCACCCCTTTTCTGAGATTTGTCTCAGATCAACTCATTTTGATGCTGTCTCTTTAAATCCAAACGAGGCGCCTTACGCCCTGCCCCCCCTCAAACTTCCAGACTAGTCCATCCCAGTTTGATAGAAGGGTTTACGTCTAAAAAAAAGGTTTTATTTACAAATGAATTAAAAGATGTCAACATTGGAAGACTTGTCCATCTAGACTTACATGTTTGAAATATATTGCCCTTTTTTCTAAAAAAACAACCTTTTAATGTTTCATATTTCTTATTTCATCATCATTCTCAATGTTTAAACCAACTGTGCCAATAAATAGTTAATAATATATTTGTGGCAGCTTCAAATTAATATTATATTTTAATAAAAATATGGTCAGCCACCACAGTAACAATAGCCTATATCTTATGTTAAAGTTCAGTAAACAGATCAAATGAAGTTTCTACAGTGTGTTACTCTCACAGGGCACCTTAAGTGGATAATGTSAGTACACCAGTCATTTCAATGCATTCAATGGCTAAAAAAGTGGATTTTGAATATGTCCCATTTAATGAAAAAGCAGCATCCACTGAAGCCTAGAGTCTTCAAAATACGTTCTGAAGTTTTTTCTTACAACTTTAARGCAAATAGTCACATGCACTTCAGTTTTCTTATTAAAAATTAAAAATATATTGAAAGAACACRGCATCTGCTTACATTAAGTCTCCCTTTGCCCACCTGACTCATAAAACATTTTAGAGTTGCTCAGTTTGAACATATTGCTTGCACATTTACCACTGACTAATATCCAGATTCAGCTTCTCTCATTGAGTTTCATTACACTCAACCCTTAGCTGGCTTTTAAAAGCAGTCCCCTGTGAGGCATTTTCTTTAGTTTACACCCACCATTATCTCATACTTCCCTCACCGAATCACAAACAAGAGGATCTAAAATCTGCACACAGCGCTCAGCAGTAAAGCAACATGGTTTTGGGGGTGAAAGGTTTTTGTACATGTAAGGCCTGTACCCAGCTACACAAGTGGAACATCATGGCTTTCTTTARCCTGCTGGCGTGAACAACTGAATGAGATCACACACCCGGTTTACAGTTTTGCATTAACCTAAATGTCTATTTCAGCCCAAAAAAGCGGAAGTTATTCTTGGTCCCTGAGGGACACCGTGTATTCACAGCACTCATGAGAACGAGAGGAAGTTGCTTTTGTAAACGCTGTGTGCTCATCCTTTAAAATGGGTAGCTGCTATGAGGTAATGAAACATCCAGGGTTTGGTGTTGGATTTTCAATGACACAACAGAAYGAGATGAAACACCGTGAAGTCTTACACAGTACCCAGAATGAAGATAACCAAGACACAAAAAAAGGGCATCAGGCAACACAACTAGATAAAACATTTCTACAGGATGACTTCACACATGACTAAAATCATTCAAAGACTAGAAAAGGAGAATAGTGGACACAGGCTTAAGTAGTATTCCTTAAAAAATGCATGCCTCCTTTCTCTTCGTGTGACTATAAATCTAAAAGTTTATCACATGCAAATGTACTGGTGCATCCAATCATTGCCCTCTGATTGCTTTATTAAAGTCATTCCGTAATATTGTTTTATGAGATATTTTGCTAACAGACAGATGAATGAATGATTGTGCACAGGCACAGGCAATTACATAACTGCCTGSTTTTCATGGTGTCAGGTAGGGGTGTAAGAAAATATTGATATACTGAAATATTGCGATATTTCATTTCACAATACTGTATCGATATTTTAAAGCCCTGTATCGATTTTTAATTAAGGTTTAAAATGTCAACTTTCCTGCCAGCCGTTCATTTTTGTGTTGTAGTTCAGCCTCTGACCGCTAGTTGGCAGCAGTGAGTCAGCCATTTGGCTCCTCTACCTCTTGAGCACCAGGCAGTAAGACAGCATTATCATTGTAAATAAACATTAGCTTCATGCTCCGATAGCTGAATCTGAGCGAAAAAGACCGACACCCTCTGCCTTCTAAGCTGAGGTAAGGTTACAAACAGTTACTTATTTGTCAGAATGTCTGTATTTTAAGCCAAATTAAGTGTCTTGTGTGCTATTTTTTCCAACTATAGTCAGCCATCCTGTTACAGAAGGCAGGCAGGCAGGCATATAGCGCATGCGTCTACAAGCGCCTCAAGCTCAGCACTCCCCCCGGTGATGCCCCGTGACAAAAAACTCTGTCTGTTGCTTGTCCGGCTGATCGCATCAAAGTACATTTACTTTAAGTTTATCCTGCTGTGTTCACTTCAAAAACAGTTTAACTGTGTTGTTTAGCTTCTCCATTTATTTACTGTTTATTTTCGGGACCTGCCCTGCTGTTCGACCCACAGTTCTGCAAATCACGTTCTGGATGCAGGTCAGCTGATCCCAGAAACTCTGTGTGCAGCAGCTTCATATAATCTGTTTAMTGAACTTTATGACAACATAAACGCTATTGTTAAGTGTTGGGCGACCATATTGTAAATTAATATTAAAAATTAAAAGCTGCAAAAAATATTTTCAAACTATTGGCAAATTTAGTCTAATAATTGAAAACATGGATGAAATATGAAACAATTAAAATAAAATACATACAAAGCAGAACACAGCTAAATGTATCAAAAGTACAGTACGTCTATGAAATATTAGAATTTTCTGAGACAATGAATTTTGTTTTTTTTTTCTCAGTAAGAGGTTTTTATTTAATACAATTTTTTGACAAAAAAATCGCAATATATCGCCTTGTTTACAGTATCGCAATATATCGGGATACATCGTATTATGACCCCTGTCATGATATGTATCGTATCGCCAAATTCTTGCCAATACACAGCCCTAGTGTCAGGCTGTAACCATTCAGCTGTGACTCACAGGAGGCTAAGGTCACGCAGGGATGAGCAGCATCACAATTGCAGTATTGATCAGAGCACAAATCAAACAGACATTACACCTTCAAGTATTGACTGCCTGCATCTACTATGACAACTTCATTCTATTTAGTCAAACACTGATAGGTCAGATTTTACAAATGAACCTATTCTTTAAAAAACAAGAGGATAATTTTAATGTGTTATAACATATAATAAAAACATTAAAGTCAGTGCTAAATAAAATGTAAATATATAGTCATATAGTGTGAGGAAACTATATATAAACCAAAAGCAAACTGAAAAATGACACAGCTCCTCTCCTCTCAGTGATAGTATTTGAACTGATAAAACTTTTATAATTTCATAAAAATATAATGAAACATATAGTTTTAAACCTGACCTAGAGATTTGAGTGTCTTGCTTTAGCACAAGTAACCATAATGCTACATGTAAATGGTCATTTCCACTTTCAACATAGAAGATATACTGCAACATTATCAGACTGAAAAAGCTCCCAGTTTAAACACTCAAGCTTTGTTTAGTTGTCAAATAATCACAAAGCAAATCATGAATGCATTTTCTTGCTCATCCCATTTAGACAAGAGCTACAATGAATACAAAAAAAATGTGCTTTTGGTTGACACGTTTTGTCTTCACTGCTATCAGGTTCCTTTTCTACATAAACACTGAGAAACAAAACTGACGGGGAAATCATTCCTCTTTGATTTTCAGCACCATCAAAATTGGGCCAATTGGGCTGTRGGGTCGGACGTGTGGGTGGGGGGAGTTCACCTTTTTCCGGTAAGTGCTGGTGACACATGAAGATGCTGTGTGTTTGTCACCGACTCCACCCCCTCACACCTGTCCACCAAAACTAGCGGGGGACTGTGAGCTTTGACAGCTGTCGTCCTCCCTCTGTTATAAACAGAGCCCGGCACCCCGCGCACACACACACACACACACACACACACACACACACACACACACACACACACACACACAAACACACACACACACACAGTAAAGTAAGGGCAACGAAAACAGGTGGAAAGTGAAAGAGAGTGTGGGTGGGAGTCAGAGAGTGGTTCAGGCTGCTGCTGAATGTGAATCAGCTCATACACCTGAGAGAATTAGAGTAAATCCTTTGCGACACAAAAAATATTGCAATCATTGACGTAACAGTAGGAGCTGCTATGGGGGGTTTGTGTGTGCTCTGTTAGATAAAAGTAGCTAAAGAAACACTGAGAAGTGAACGTGATGCTGAGATAAGGTACTTTAAGTATTGAAGATCGGATCAGTTAGATCAAATCAGCACTTCCGGATAAAAAAAAAAGTGTTTTTCTTTCTCCTCTTCCACGTTGGCTGTGCATCATGTTGGCTGTGCAGAAGGTGCTTCTTCATGCAGGTTATTATATTATTTTATTATTATTATTATTTTATATACTGAAATTGAGAATTTTTGTGAAAGCAAGAAACCACTCGGCGTTGAACCTATTGGATGTCTGGTGAGTTGGCACAACAACACCTTCTGGTTGCTTTTTTTCCTGTTGCTGAGACAACTCTGACTGAACAAAA